CGGTGGCATTTTCATCTCCAGGGTTCTTGTCTGGATGCGTACGCAACGCAGCCTGGATAGAAATTATGGTGAACGACGATTCCAGCAACCATGCGTGTTCCGCACCTGTTTGTAAGTACTCTTGATCACTTCGATGGAGGCGCCCTAACAAAATCATCGGTGTCAAGAACCCATAGGGGGGATGATCAGGATACACACCTCTTCAATACCAAGAACCTCGTATGCCTCCCTAACTGTCGAGTGCTTATGTACCATCGTGCTGCACGAAGCCTTTCGTAAGGGGTGTAGGGCCAAAAAGTCGCGCGTAAATGAGACGCGCCTGCCGTCAAAGACAAAAATAGACAAACACCGACAAAGTTCGCCGAAATTGGATGCTGTGGCAGACGGCCAAGCTTTGTGCACCTTGAACCACGACCACCAAAGCAACAGGAAAGGCCCAAGCTTCGCCTTGAGTCACATCGAGCTTGGATACCCACTATCAGTGCTGTTATTTTGGCTTTGATCCCACCTCTATTTAATTCCACACGTGACCCGCCCACATACAGCGCAAATTATGAAAAAGTTCAGCATGGAATCTGTGGATGCATTCATGCTTTGGCCATCGCTCGCTTTCACGCCCACCTCTGTGGATATATAAGCCACGGTTTCTTTCCGGTATGTTCCACCAAACACAACTTCCAACTCCTCACACCCTCATCATCGTCGCGCAATGTCTCAATATCCGTTCCCTCCAAACCCCAACCAGCCTCAGTATGGTTATATACAACCCCAACACCTGTTGATCCCAGCCAACTCTGGATATACGGTGCGAGATGGATGGATTGATCCTCCGTTCAATGGATTGACTGGGTTTCACCTGCTAGCCTTACCAACCTTATCCCACCCAATCGACTTCTGACCAGCTACACCCTGTGCAAATCATTGGCAACATATATGGGACAGCTCATCTGGCTCCCAATCTTCCCGCACCCTCGGGCCCACAGAAGATTCGCGTGTCCGTCCCGATGCACACTGACCGTGATCTGGGAACGGTCCTCCCATCCACTCGACCCATCACATTTACCTTCCGAGGCCAGCCAGTCCGCCTCTGCGAATACCTAAACCCCAAATGCGGTCCGCTCGATAACCCTCAGGACAAGATGTCCACGATCTCCCTCGATAAATTCTTCAGGTTCTGTGTTCGCGTAAGCGCTTACCCTTCGGTTTCCCAATGCCCGCGCTGACAATTGGTATCCAGTGGCCTGGGTTTGTTACTTTCCCTCCAAAGCCAGTCCACAAGGAGCTCACTCGTATCGAGATGCTCCAACGTGTCGCCCTCTACTTCCACGAGTTGTTCGAGAGGGAGTTGGCCGAGCAACAGAAAGCGGTATGGAAATTTAGTGTCCATCGTGGTCTGAACCCTTACTCAAGTTCGTACCACAGGGACGACATAAGACTCCCCTCCACCTAGCAAATATTACACCTGACCAGAAACGCTTCGCGATCAGGAAGTCTTCTGGAATATCGTATCAAGATGTCTGGATCAAGGGTATGCAGAGAGCGCACACCGGGTCCTGGTTCGCACTGTTGGAGGTGGATATGAAGGCTTAAACTGCGTAGTATCATCAAACATGTCTAATTATCGCAGATCGGCATATGTATCTGCACCCACGCACCCTACCCAGAACATTATGTATCTGTACAAACATCCTCACTCCTTACGCACATCACAATGTGTGACCAAAAATAAAAACATTTTGCTGGTCAACAGAAGCGATCGCTGCGATAACGTCAGTGAAGATACACGAAGCAAACACAACCTCCTCACCTCTTCAGCTTTGCTCGTCGGTCCAGCATAGCCTCAGCCAATCGACCATCCTTCCGAGCACGCTTGATCTGCATATTTTCTGGATCAGTAAAGATACTTGGGCAGGATGGCACAACCAACCTCTTTCTTGTCTTCCGTTGAGACTTTCGAACGGCCGGCGCCCCATGCTTGGAACATGCGACTGTGATCGTAGGTTATAGCGGAGAGCGAGGGCATGCGATGAGAAGACAAACTTTGTGCTCGCCTCGTCAATAGACGGTTCGCTCAGTGCTCCATCTTTCTTCTTCTCCTCCTCGGTGGCCTCCTTCTTGTACCTGCTCTGAACCTTGACCCAGAACCGTTCTCCAAAACCAACTTCCTCGCTATCACCTCTCAGTTGCAAAGTACCGCCAGCAACTTCATCAACGCTCAAGTACTTCTCGTAGACGTTCATAAAGGCGACCATCCCATCTGGAAACACCACTGGTGTCCATTCTTCCTGAGGTCCTCGAGCGTCTCTGTCTGCTGAAACTAAACCATGCTTATCACAAGACAGGAACTTTCCTTCTCCAACACCTGTTCGAAGATTGATAGTCGTAGCCCCGGCTACCCTCGTCGTAACCCAGACTTGTGATACCTCAGTGGGGCTGCGGTCCAGCAAGGTCGGAGCTTCCCCATCTTCGGAGCGGTCCTTGTCGACAGAGTGTAGAACGATGCGGTTTCGAGTAGAGTCAAATGTAACGCAGATGGGCGACGGGTCTGAAGGATGCAAGATGAATGTAGGGCCACGGATTTCGTTGGCATTCTCAGGTCGCACCCAAGCCTCTGGTTTCTCGTCACCCTCCTCTTTCCGCCGCCGTGAGCTAGGTCCACCTCCCTCTTCGTCGTCATCTCTTCTCCTCTTCTTCTTTGTCTTCTCTCCCTTGAATTTGAGCTTCGTTGAGCGGATTTTGTCGGCAGACATGAGAGCAGGTTCGAAGTGATTGTAGGGGGTCGTGGTAAATTTGGGTCTCATGGAAAGGGTCTCACGTTCCCAAATTGGATCGAGCGTGGACCACTACTCGTCAACCCAAAAGATTCGCCGCCCCCACCGCCAACGACGTCCGCAAGATCAAGACAATGAAGTTCAACCCTGGTTAGTGCTCGCCGTCATCCTGGCTATCTGTTCATCCCTGTACACGCCAAAAACTGGATGATTCGAGACACCCGCAGGGTGGATGGCTGTGATGCTGTTGGGATGACCTCAGGACAGGAAACTGACCACCGTTGATTGCAATTTACAGACGTCTCCTCCTCCCGCCGCAAGGCCCATAAGGCCCACTTCTCCGCCCCCTCTTCTGTTCGCCGCAAAATCATGTCGTCTTCGTTGGCAAAGGATCTCCGGACCAAATACAACGTACGGTCTATCATTGTCATCCAGGATCCTTGCTGTGATTAACACATCTACTCTTAGACTCGTTCGATTCCCATTCGGAAAGATGACGAGGTCCGGGTTGTTCGGGGAAAGTACAAGGGTCGTGAGGGCAAAGTCACACAGGTGTACCGCAAGAAATGGGTTATCCATGTTGACCGAGTGAACCGTGACAAGTCGAACGGCGCATCTGTTCCCATTGGTATCCACCCCAGCAATGTGGTTATTACCACCATCAAGCTGGACAAGGATCGGTGCGTTGTTTTGAGGCCCATTTTTGCCAAACTCTTATCTCCTTTTGCAGCCGAGCAATTTTGGACAGGAAAGACAGGAAGAAGAACCCTAGCTCGAGAGCCGCTGGTGAGGACGTCGAGATGGTTGATGTGAGTTGTACAGATCCTTGAATAGTTCGTTCTCTCACAACTGCCTTTGCAGTGATCTGTTCCGTTTGCTCTCCTTGTCGCTATTCCCATCTTCGTCCTGTCAAAATCACTCATGTATCTATGCGCACCCATTCATATGACATGCCGCATGAGGTTTCCGGCCAATGGAGAAAAGTCGAGCGGTGTTCGTGAGGTTTCGTGCAAGTCTCGAAATACAGATTAGATACGACATGGTATCCAGTCCTGTTAGCTTGTCAAAAGATGACGTCCGCATCTTTGCTACTTAACAAGTCGCTATTGGTGTCTGTTGGTTCTGGCGGCTCGAAAGCCGGGGCCGAATCCTCTTCGTCGTCTGCCTCTGCTGCAATCGCCGCCCGCCGTGCATCCTCTGCCTGTGCATCTCGCTTCTTCTTGCCTTGCACTTTCTTCAACCTGAGAAATATACCGGTCATCAGGGAATTAGACGCCGTCGCAGGGAATATACGTACCGGAAGAACTCTTCTCGATCCATCTCATCCAGCTCGCTCATGATATACTTGATCGTGTTCTCCAAGCGAGGGATAACGACATGTTCAATGGCATTAACACGGCGATTGGTTGCTCGAATGACTTCGTCAAGAATCATGAATGCGGTTTGAAGCGACGCCAGCTCCACCAAAGTCTCTACAGCTTTCGCGTAGACCTCTTTCGACTTGAGAACTTGTTGGCCACCTCGGCCAAGACCAGTGAGATTAAAATCTGCGACCAAACGGTTGGTTGGTCATGTCTTCGGCAGAGGTTCGTGCCACATACCTGTTCCAGCTACACGATCGACCTCGAAGGTTGGTAGAACAACACCAGACACGTTCTCCTGCCTCGCCTTCACCCTGAATGTCGCGGTCTTTGCTTGTTCTTGAACGAGATACGAAATGTCTCCGGTGGCATATGTTACTTCGGCTAAAGAGAAGGAAGCCAGTTGCATGACTCTCCCCATCTTCCGCTTGGCCTAATCCGCATCGAAATCCACAAGGAGCAGCAGCAAAGGTGGACCAAGTCAAAGAATAAGTTCAGGCAACATCGGTAGACTGGGGGAAAGTAGACGCACTTCGTCGACCTTTCTGAGAATCGCCCTGAATCTTGTAGTGAGTGCATCCCTTTTCTTTGCCAACAGTGAATGGCCTGTTTGGGCGCCCTTTAGCCTCAGCTTGGTATTCGTCAGAGCCATTCTTGTTGGAAAGATGTTTTCGCGAGCACCGGACATGATGAGGAGGGATTCAGATACGTCGTGTTATCGCAAGATGGTGGCAAGGACGACGGAGGGTCTTGATCATGGGGCCAAGGATCCCAAGTATGGCGAACGACCTGCCTAAATGGGGAGCCTCGAAGATCGTCGTGCTCATGTACTGAGAGTTATAGACATAGCTCTAGTAAAATCTGAACAGCCGTGGTAGCTCAGTTGGGAGAGCAGTAGACTGAAGCAACTCATGTGTTCTAAAGGTCACCTGTTCGATCCAGGTTCATGGCATTGTTTTGCTGAGCTACAGTGAGTTGGTGGATGCTTCCTCGTTGGCACGCCAGTATACATCTAATTCTCAAGGGGTAGGCAACCTTGAATCATAGTTTTGATACTATTCCTCAATCACCGAAGAATTTCCTCCCTGTCTGCGTGGTCGCGGTGTTGTTGGTTGTTGGTGAATGTTCTCTCTTGGGGACACTCAAACGAGGAGATCAGAGGGATAACAAATATATAACTGGAGAACCTCCATCTGAGTGGAGGGATGAACAGCAGCGGGAGTTCATCGACAAATGGTGTAACACATACAGGACACACAGTCCGTCCCCCACAACTCTACAGGTTCGCAGAAGCGAGAAGCGATGATCAAGCAATGGTGTACTTCCCGTACGTCTTTTCGGGATCATAAACCTGGAAGTATACGACATACATAACAGTCAGCAACACAGTGAGGCGAAAACAGCGAGAGGACAGACCTCCCAACGCGAAGCAGGGAATATATGCTTGTTCTTGTTATACCAGGCCCGTTCCACCACTTTACCCGCGTGCGATTCGTCCTTTTCTTTCGTCGCGTCGGCAAGCAGTCTGACATCGTCGTGTACGTCAAAGTTAAACAGAGGACCCGATTTACCACGCGCTTTGTTTATGATGAAGTCGTAGAACGTGTAGTGCTAAGAGAGTCGAAGGAATGTTAGACAGCTTCGAAATCAGCATAATTGCCAAACATACGTGAGGTATGATGAGATCTTCCTATATGCAGACCCGCATCGTCAGATAAGAAACTATGGCAGAGACGGGAAAATAGATACCTTGATGTACATCAAATTATCGACGCTAACACCTCTGAGTTCGGGGAACTGCTGTCGACATTTATTCAGGAAGGCAGCAACGTCGTCACCTTTCTTGCACTAACAATCGCAGGATGGTGGTTCAAATAAAACAATGTTCGTATACAGTGGGTAGGTCAGACACAATCCTTGGGGAGAAATTGAAGTAGTAAAGGACTTACAACGACACTTTTCCGATGACCACTTCCGTCCCAGTAGGAATATGTAATCTCAATCTCCTCCTTCTTCAAATCCTCCTGTCTCTTCAACCACTCTTGTCTGAGTCGTTCTCTTTCCCGCCGTTCCTCTTCCTCGCGATCGCGATCAGGTAAAAACGAGGTGTCAACATCAGGATTCTTGCGAAATTTCGAGCGCTTGGAGGCTTGTTGGCCGTTCGAGTCGTCATTGTCAGGTGTGGGCGTAGCGTCACCCTCTGTATCCTCATCGTCCACTGCAAACGACAGAGTTGACTTGGCGCTCTTCTTCCTCTTCTTCACTTTCTTCTGCTCGTCCCTAAACAAATGCTCCACCTCCTTTGAGTGATCGTTCCGAGCAGACGGAGTAGAAAGAGAAACGATAATCGGCCAATGGTGATGAGGAAAACATACTTTAGTTCATTCGTCCGAGCCGCCTCCCTAGCCTTGGCCTCCTCGAGTTCTTTTCGCCTCTGTTGAAAGTCCTCAAGCCTAACCAAGCCCACCGTGCTCTTCTTCAGCGACTCTTCCATGGAGTCGTTTTGCCCAACGAATTTGTTTGAAGAAGGTCGAGCCTTCTCAGTCTCGTTGATGAGAGCTTGCTTCTGCCTCTCATATTCTTCGCGCATCTGGTTGCGCTGCTTTTCGAGTGCATCCGTGCGGCGACCTTCAGCTCTGTTGTCAGACATGATATCGGCGAGTGGGGGTTAGAAACGTGAGATGGATGGTGGTCACTGGTCAGAAGCAAGGGTCGATCGGAGATTGAAACGGCCTTTCCCTCAACTTCTCGGACGCGAACTTTTAGTTTTCGGCGGGTCATGGTGCACGTCCTTGGGATTCAGCTCCCTGATCGTGAATTGGCCAGAGTACGATATTTCGCCTGTTTTCTTGGACGTTTACTGACGTTGTGTTTATTTAGTATGCCTTAACCCACATTTACGGCGTTGGGCATAAGACAGCACATCGAATCTGTGCCCGTCTCCTCATACACGACACTTGTCGAGTCGCCGACCTTTCGCCTGGTCAGATCAGTTCATTGGCAGCCTTTTTGTCGTCACCGTCTACAGCACCAGCCGTCCCTAGATTCCCGCTCGCCCTACCTCGATTCCAGCCGCCCTCACCGTCAACTCCCATGAGAGAAATCCAAACCAAAGTCGCTCACCTCATCAAAGGGAGAAACGCTGCACCGCCTCCCAGCAAAGTGCATCCCCTTCCTCGCGGTGGACGCGATCCCTTACCCAGTCTCAAAATTGAAACGGATTTGCGAAGGGAGGTTAGGGAGAATATTGCGCATCAGCGTATGATTGGTAGTTATGTTGGAAAGAGGCATGCTATGGGTCTTCCTGTGCGCGGACAGAATACGCAATCGAACGCTAGCACGGCCAGGAAACTCAACAGGATTGATAGGTTCGGCTGATTGGTTAGAAGGATAGGGAGGGTAATGGGGCTATAGTGACTCCAATCTTATTCGGGATTGCCATTCAATCACTTCTAGAAATTGTACTCCTGGGGGAGTAACATCAATATCCTACAACAACCCATGACAACTCTAGTCGTCTCCGACAGGAACTTCTTCTTCCAGGTACTTCAACAACCTCACTTGAATCTGAGTGCTCTCATCTCCTTTCAAAACATCCGACAGAAATTCTGCTTGGACCTGCATTTGAACCTTGAGAAAGTGTCAGAGGCTTGGTGGACTGGGGGCTGGGGTGCAACGCACCATTTCCAGGGCACCGCGCAGCACTCCGCAAAGGACATTGCTGAACCATAGCCCACCTTCCAAAGCTTCCTCGGGCAGTTCCACGAACTCCGCCAATGGATTTTCATCCAGCGTCAATATGAATGACGATCCAGTGGGGTTTGCCTGGGATGGGGGACGACTGCCAGATGGCTGTGGTTGTGAATGTGTCACCGTGGGTGTGATGTTCAGGAAAGATTTAAATCCGACCTGACCTAGATGTGAGATACTGCAAAGAGTTGAGAAAGAGAATAAGACGCTTACTTTGGCGACAACTTCCCCGACCTCTCGAAAGTCAGCGCACCTCCCCAACGCACTTCTGGCGAGGAAGTCTTCAATCAACCTCGTTCCGATGTTGTAGCCCATCTTCTCCAGCTGCTTATTAACCTCTGCGTAATCTTCATAGTCTTGAATGAGCTGGACTACTAGGGCGCCGTAAGTCAAGGCGAATAGCTCTGCATTCTGTTCTGGGGGTTAGATTTAGTGTACCTCACATCGCCCGCGTTGGATAGTGAGATACAGGGAGACGCACAATCTTCTCTGTTCTACTTTTCCAGATATCATCACCAATGGCTTTGTATTGTTTGCTGGTCGTCGCCATTATCGTGTGCAGGGAATTCTGATTTGAAGTGCCGAAGGAGATGTGACATTCCCAAAAAGGAAACTCACGATCTTTGCACGCCGACCACATACCACATTGCTGAAAAACCTTGGGCCTTTGTATCTCTGACATCTGTTCCTTCTATACTTACTGCGATAAGATGTCTCGCCCCGAGCTGATCGCACCACCTGAGATTGTACGTCTATCGTACCCACCTCCCCGTCCAATTAACAGACTCCCCCATCGTGCAAGTGTAGTACTATGGGGATACAGAAGCCCAGAAATACACCGCCAAGTAGGTCTATCCATGACTCCGATATGAAGGTCTTGTTGAACATCTTATAGCTCTCGAATACAGCAAATTCAAGCAGATATGACATACCGAGCGCTGGAATTGCTCAACCTCCCACCAGACGAGCCTTCATTCATTCTGGACATTGGTTGTGGGTCAGGACTGTCAGGAGAAATCTTGGACGAGCAAGGCCATATATGGGTGGGAGTAGATATTGCCCCTAGTATGTTAGGTGAGGCAGTCCAGCTTATTGCCGGGAGGTTGGTTTCACACTTCGTGAGCAGAAGTAGCACTTGAGCGGGAGGTCGAAGGTGATCTATTCCTTCAAGACATCGGACAAGGGTTTGGGTTCCGTCCAGGCAGCTTCGATGGTGCTATCAGGTAATTCCACCTTCCCCACCATTTCTCCAGTGTTGATCTCCGTCCAGTATATCTGTTATCCAATGGTTACTGAACGCGGAGACAAGTCACCCAACCTCATCTCCACCCCACCGTCTCACCCGTTTTTTCACCACTCTCCATTCTGCCTTGAAAAACCCCTCCCGAGCCGTCCTTCAATTTTACCCGTCCTCGGATGACCAAATTCAGCTCATCACCTCCATCGCGCAGAAAGCGGGCTTCGGAGGGGGCATTGTTGTCGATTACCCCAATTCTAAAAAGGCCAAGAAGGTTTTCTTGTGCCTATTTGTGGGCAGTGGTGGCGCGCAGCATGTTCCACAAGGGCTGGATGGAGAAGTGCCGGAGGGAGCTGGCGACAGCGTCAAGTTTGAGAAAAGGAGGGAGAGAGAGAAGAGGAGGAAAGAGAATGGGGCCAAAAGGAAGGGAGTGAAAGATAAGGACTGGATCCTGAAGAAGAAAGAGGTTGGTGTGTTATGGTCACCTACCCAGTGCAGCATACTAACCCCTTGGTCCCTCAGTTATACAGACGGCGAGGCAAGGAGCATGTGCCGAATGATAGTCTGTATACGGGTCGCAAACGGCGTCCTGCCTTTTGATCGACGCAGATTACTTCCTTTTTACCGCATGCTGCTGTTCTGAGGCTCCGGACGGTGCCATCACACATTTGGCCCAATGTCAGGGTGTCTGCCTCGCCGGGATCAATGAACTTTGGGCGACGATATCCGCGGTCAAGCAATTGCCTGGCACACCATACATCTCAATACATCACACGATAAAACACAACGGAACAACGGCTAAGGGTCCGAACTCGTGAGTTTCGACAGACTGAGGAACGCGTCGAACAACGCCGGGACAACGAAAGGTTCCCGACATTCTCGTCGAATGTCAGCCAACGCCGATTCGGCGAGAACACGCTGCGTTCTTTCCTCAGTGGCCTCACGAACACCATCGGCTAGCTGGT